TCCGGTCAGATAAAATATCTCTGAATAGATACTCACCCACTCCGCAAGTACCCTCATTATTTCAAACCACCTAATAATGTCTCTCGTCAGATAAAGAAAATTACTTTATCAGATAAAAATATTCCTAGTCAGATAAAATATCTCTGAAGAGATACTCACCCACTCCGCAACTACCCTCATTATTTCCAACCATCTCATTTACTAAACAATCCATTTATTTTACTCACCTTGAATTCATACTATAAAAGCAACACTTCACACACTAATTCTTATCACTCACATCTCTCATTGGTTTCACTTATAACTCTCATTTCTATCACTCACAACACAAATAAGAATGTCAAGTGAACAGAACATAATAGTTCTCGTTCATTGGAATGGGGTATTGACCAATGTTGACAACGAAGTCAAATACTCTTCATTTCCAAATGCAGTACTTTTTCTAAATGCCGATGTTAGCTACACAACACTGTGTGAGCATATTATTACTCACATGCTGAAGTTATGAAAGCGCACACAACCAAACTAAATCAGAAATAGAAATATTCTTCCAAACCCTAGTCTCACAATTCCTCCATGGCGGCGGTTCGGGCGGTGGACGGATCAATATCTCTTCGTCTTCTTTCGCCAATATGAGATCGCCGCCACCGGCAAAGCACTGGATTGTTGTCGGGCTTCGCAAACCTCTGCAATTCCAGCTGAGGAGGCTCATCTTTTTCTGGTCTTCAGTCGGCGGGAACGCTGCAGGGACTAGCCGAGCCAGGTGAAAGAAGCCACCGCTGGAAAAACTCCTAGGAAGATCCTAGAGATGACCGCAGTTTCTTTGTTGCTAATTTAGTTCTCGACTACCCTGCCTTCCTTCAGCGCATCTCCTCTCATGAAGCGCTGGTCTCCTCGCAACCCTTTCCACTGGGACGACGCCTCAATTGAATCAATCTTTGTCAAGGATCGACGACAACGTTAGCTAGGGGTCTCTTATTTGGTAAAGCTTTTGTGGATTTCCCTATTATGATAATCACTGCACTTAGAAAATCATATTTTTAAAGGGAAAAATAATTAAATTTCCCCAATTAAACTTTGAAGGAGTGTGAGATGAACACCCTAAACTTGCATGTGTAATTTAAATACCCCAAACTTTGTATAATTGTTTTTAACCCAGAAGGTAAACCACCAAAATGAGTGGGGTAGATGCCGGGGAACATCTACCGGATTTTATTAAGAAGGAAAGAGAGTACTTTATATAAAAAAATTATTTTAGAATCATAATCAAATATTATTTGTTTCAAAAATTTAAATTTATAGTGTTAATTGCATAATTTATAATATTTTAGAATTCATGAAGACACAATTAACATTCTAAACTTCCATTGTGAAATAAATAATGCTACCCCCAATCTATATAATTGCGACACTTTTAATTTGCTATTTTAAATTATGCAATTAACCCCATAAATTTAAATTTTTTAAACAAACATTTTTCACACTCTAAAGTTATTTACAGTGTGAAAGTAACTTTTTATATAAAGTTTGGGGAATTTAAATTACATATGCAAAAGAATAGTATGATTTACAAGGATGTTACAAAATTGTCCAATATAGAGTCTTCCATTATACAAAAGAATAGTAGGATTTACAAGGATGTTACAAAATTGTCTCCACTCAATGGTGGCTCACTCAAGCTTGAGGATATGAACTTCCCAAACTAATTCTCTTCTCTCACAAAGAGACTCTCTAACTCTCTAGCTTTCTCACTCTAGGAAGTGGCTTGTCTCTTGCTAGGATGTTTAGGAATGGAGCCTCCTACCCCTATTTATAATAGGGAAAACTGTCAAATAGGTCCTCGAACTTTCATAAAAAGGTCAATTAAGTCCTTCTATAGGAGGTTCTGTCCGGCCGTCGCGATTTGGGGCAGTTCCCGATGGAGTTATTTAATGAAATTTTTTTAGCATCTTATTCACCAAGTCTAGTTTACTCATACCAAATTTCAGCTAAAAATTCAATCGGAAACACATTCAAATTAATTCTTGAAGATAACTACGCATTTTTGCGTCCTCGAATTAATTTGAATGCGCTCCTGATTAAATTTTTAGCTAAAATTTGGTATGAGTAAACTAGACTTGATGCATAAGATGCTCTAAAAATTTCATCAAAAAATTCCACTGGGAACCGCCCCAAATCGCGATGACCGGACAGAGTCTCCTATACAAGGACTTAATTAACTTTTTTATGAAAGTTCGAGGACCTATTTGACAGTTTTCCTATTATAATACTCCACCTTCACAATGTATGGTGGGGATGATTTGTATCCAAGGGTGGGGACTCTGTTAGTTTATTTGCGTATAATTCGCGTATAATACACTCAAACGTATAATTCGCGTATAATTCTCCCGTTTTTGAATTTTTCAAATTAAAAAATTATGAAAAATTCACGTACTTTAAGGATAAAATGTATAATACACGTACCGTACGTATTGATACGTATTTTATTCACGAATAATACTCCTGTTTATGAATTTTTCAGAAAATTCTGAAAAACTCACGTACTTTAAGGATAAAATGTATAACACACGTACTGTATGTATTGATACGTATTTTATTCTTAAACACACACCATTAAACGGAAGCCTAATGGAGTGCTACAACTGAATCGAAATGTCTAGCACTCTAGCTGCTCAATATTATTTATATTGCTTAAAAAAACTTCATGCCTTATATGTTTGTTAATTGTTTAATAGTCATTACATTTAATAAATTAGCTTCTTAACTTCTTAATCTTTTTCGATATTACTTTTGTAATACTATTGTATTACTTTTGTTCTCCACCCATACCAAGACTCCAAAGAGATCAAAAAATGTTGTGGTGGCTCACCAAACTCACAATCACAGTAATATAAATTATTCTTTGGTAATATCTTTGTACTTCTACTCAAATAGGCAATGTCATTTTTATTACTTATTGTACCTATGCATTCAAATTTGTACTGATAACTCTTTATTTCTTTCATTAAATTAGTATATAAGACACATATTATATGTCGTATTTTAAAAATGTGAAACGTTTAAAACACGTCCGTATCTTTATATATTTCACGAACGTATGAAACATATATTAAGCCGTATTTTATATAATTGTATCGTATTATACACAAACGTACGTATTATTGTATTATTCACAAACCGTATATTACTAACAAAGGGTGGGGATTGATTCTCTAGAATGCTCCATACACTCTACGAGTCTCTACACTCTTCCATTCCCTTCTATATCCTTCAATTCCATACTCTTCCATAAGGTTCCACACGTCTGGTCCCTGTGTATTTTATAACTACGGCAGTCTGGTCTGATCTGGTCTGATCAAGTCTGGTCCCTGTGTATTTTATAACTACGGAAGTCTGGTCTGGTCTGATCTGGACTGAAAACTGTCCAAAAGAAAACATCATTTGACTACATTTTTATTTATTAATCTATTACAATATAATTGTTTTTTTTTTAAAATTGTTTAATTTGTCTCATTACATATTTTCAAAATCTATTTTTTTTTGCTAATTGAGAACATCCAAATATGTGTTTTGGTAAATGTGCAAAGTCGCCTGTTACAACAAAAAACATAGGAAATATAATAAGTTAAGAGAGCATTTGATATGTTTTTTTGAAGAAAAAAATGATTAAATCTAATAAAGAATATATTGAAAAGGACATGAGATTGGATTCAAAATTAATCATAAAATATTATTGGAAATCTGATAGAACTAATTTAAATTCTAACGATGATATTGGATTCACAATTGATTTCAGATATTCTAAAATTATTTTGAAAGATTTTGGACAGGAACTTGTGATCTGGGCAGGATTATAAACAAACCATGTCATCTAGTCGAATAGTGTGATCTTTGTATTCGTATTTTAATTTTACAAATCTAAATTTGAATATAAAATGAATAATGATCTTGATTTGTATTCTTATTCATTTAACAATACAAATAGTTAACGAATCTTATACGAATATCAAATCGTTTTGAAGTGGAGGAGGAGGAGAGAATACAATTGAATGGTCCAGATTTATTCTCATTTCTCTCTTAAGATTATCTTCTCACTTGAACCTAATTCTACACACATATAGGAGAGAAATATTACCCTAAGTAAAAACATGCACTATTCTTTCTTAAGCTTAATTAAGTTTTTTGAACAAAAATATGAGTATTCACTGTGTATGAGTAATTGTACAAAAGTTACTATGATGCAAGAGGGGCGATTATCCGAGGTCCTAGCGGCGAGATGATCTTGGCCATTAGCTTTCAGTTGCAGGTTGACTCCCCGGCTGAAGCTGAGCTCGGTGCACTGGTGTATGCGATTAGGTGGGCTGTCGATGAAGGCTTTCTTGGGATTCAGGTTGAATCTGACTCCTCTGAGGCTATTCGTATACTTGGTGAAGAGAATGTGCAAAGACGGAGTATGCCAATTCGGGAAACCCGACTTATTTTGGCTAGGCATAATATGGATATCGGACACACTTGGAGAGAAGGCAACGAAGTAGCCCATTATTTAGCTGATGCTCACATGGGCCGGAACTGTATTATCTACACTGAGCACAAATCCCTTCCTACTCGGGCTAAACGAGCTTATTTTTCGGATCTGTTTGGCATACCTGCTCTTAAATTTTAGATTTTTCTTCATTTCGGTTTTCTGTCTTGCTTTTGGGAGGTTTTGGTTTGGTCCCCCTCTCTCTTTGTTTCTCACATCTTTTTAATAAAACACTGGCAAATGTCCCCCGGCATTTGCCCCACTGATTTTGGTGGTTTGCCTTCCGGGGTAAAAAAAAAAGTTACTATGATGCATTACAGAATGACAAATCACTACCTCCTAAAAAATTCACTACCTCCCTCCACCGAATGAAAAAATTGAGAAACTTCCCCCCACAATTTTAGGCCTGCCTGTTATGAGATAGATATGTCGATAAAAACTTCTAAATTACTTCTTCTTAATATCTGAAATTTCTGAGTTCTCTAAATTGCTTGAATTAATTTACAAGACCTCATCAAGCCACTATTTGTACTGGTTGAGCTTGATGATGAGTCACTTATTTGATGAGTCTACAGATTTGGTGGCAATAGCATATTAAACCACCTGTTCTAACTAGGTTACAAGGATCATTACAAGGATCAGGAAAAGCTTGGTGTCCTAATGAGTATGCTGCTTACAAGGATGAATAATTCACACACATGTTATTCTCAGGATTTTACAACACTCCCCCTTGAATGTTCATCCTTCAATAGTTATTTTGTTATATGTCGTTGTATTTGGATGTACTGTCTCGTTAAAAACCTTATCAGGAAAAACCCAGTGGAATAAAAACCTGATGAAGGGAAAAAGAGTGCAGTGCATTCAAATACTCCCCCTGAAATTAACATAAATTTTGAAGGCGGTGCATGCCGATTTTCTGTACAAGTTCTGTGAACTTCTTCGGGGGTAAAGATTTGGTGAAGAGATCGGCTGGATTTTCACTTGATCTGATCTGTTGAATGTTGATCGTCCCATCTTTCTCCAGATCATGAGTAGAGAAGAATTTTGGTGATATGTGTTTTGTTCTGTCTCCTTTGATATAGCCCTCTTTAATTTGAGCTATGCATGTGGTGTTGTCTTCATAGATCACAGTCGGGCGACAAGTAATAGGCTTTATACCGCATTCATTTTGGATGTGTTGAATCATAGTTGCAGCCACACGCATTCCCTCCTGGTTTCATAAAGTGCAATTAACTCCGAATGATTTGATGATGTAACTGTCAACGTCTGTTGGTGTGTAGCATATAATGGGCACACAACTATTTTTTACCCAAGGAAGTAGGGTGTCGAACCACAGAGAAGCGGGAAATAAAATAATTAAGCACAAACTAAGGATTAAAGTTGGGAGTGCGTTTCTTTTGATTTTTTTGGTTGCTTGGAAAAGTAATAAAATAAAAGTGATTGGGATGAGAGATTTTTATCAACACAAAGTTCAACCAATAGCAAGTAGGGGTAGAAATTGGTAACTAATTGTTCAATGTTTAATTGAAAGACATAATTGTTAATTTTATTCTTAGATAGATTGTGAGAAGTTGTAGATAAATATTTTTAGGACCCAACACAAGTCATCTAAAATAAGTAACTAGTCAACATTTCCCAGTGATGGCCAAAATGAGACTAGTTGTTTAAGTGCAACGACAACCTTAATTATTAACTATATTATTTACCCAACCTCGTGGTGTAAATAATATCATTAAATAATTAAATTCTCCCATAAAACTTCAATCCGGGACAAGGTAAAAGAAGTTTAACGGTGTGTTCAGAAAGTGTTCATTTGTGTATTTAACAAACAATATGTTTATGATTGAGTACTCATAATATATATCACAAACATAACTTAATTAATTTTCTGGACACAACAATCTAAATAGAACAAACTTAACAATTAAAATCAATATAAATTAAAACATGATAAGAACAATTAATTAACCAATTTCTAGCCCCAAATTTATTTAGCTATACATGTTGGGAAGCTTAGAAATAGATGAATCCATAATTAAAGTACAAGATTTAATGAGATAAGGAAGATCAAACTTGTGATAGATGACAATCCTTGAAGCTTTGGTGCTAATCTTGACTTAATCTTGGATAAGGAAGTGATTAGTTGTGGTTGAAGATGGGTTGATGATTTGAAGGTGAAGAATGAAGAGAGAAGGAGGAGGAAATGATTCTGGGAGGTTTAGAGAGAAGTTGGCTCGAGATATTGTGTGGAAGGAGATGGATTAAGCCTTATAATGATAAGATGATTAATGATTAATTGCTGGAATTTACGGAACCGAATAGTATATGTACAAGATATCGCGTCTGGGTATCAACAACATGTAGCAGTGTAGCGGTGAAAGATTGGTGTCGTGACACGGAGGTTGTGGGTTCGATTCCGTGCTTTGACTCCTTTTTTTTCTTCTTTTCCTTGCTGCGATGGGATCCAATTAGAATAAGCTCCAGCTGAAATATCTCAACTTTGACACTTAGCTTGCTGGTTGGGCGTGCTCTGTCATCCCTGGGACCAGAGTTCGAATCCCATCTCTATTTTTTTCTTAGTTTTGCTTTCTTTCTTCAATGTACTCCATATTTGCTTTGAAGGAGATTCCACTTTTTTTTTTGCCCTCTAACTTGAACTTTTATTTTCTTCTTTTCTTCACACTCAAATGTATCCAAATAGCATTAAATGTACCTGAAAATATAAAATACCCGTATAGAACTGCACTAATACAAACTAACGACAAATAATAAAAATATGTACAAAAGTAGAACTTTAATAACTAAAATTAACAACAAACTAAGCCTAAAAAGTGTGTAAAATATAAGTATATCAAATCCCCCACACTTAGGCTTTTGCTTGTCCTCAAGCAAAATAAACAACAAACACAAAAATATACACAATTTGGTAAAATTTACAAACATAACTAAACAAACCACACATACACCTCTAATGTCCACTAAACGGTCCAATACCCTGAAATGTCACAAAATAACTCAATGAGAGTAAACCGAGTATTATTGCCTATCACTAAGATTTTCAAATCAAACTTTTAACACAAACACCTATAGATCTGAATTAGTTCGGGTTATGCAGAACAAGTTTCTCCAATTAACTTAATTCAAAAAATGACACAAATAGATCAATTAGGACTTTTCGGGTTTTGGCGAGGTTAATGACGTGGCTAGTGGAAAGAAAGGTTTGGTGTAGGGATTTACAAAGAGAGTTAGATTGCACTTATACTGAGCGGATAATCACATGAATTTACAAGAACTTGGAGCATACAAAACAATGAGAAATATAAACATGAAAAGGAAGTAAAAATGGGGTTTTACAGAAGAAATCACAACAAAAAATTAATGTGCCTCTTTGTTTTTGTTTTTGTTTTTTCACTTTTTTTTTTCTTTTTTTCTTTTTTTTTTGAACTTTTTTTAAGAGGGCACACACTAAATATTACAATGAAAAACTAACCCCAAAATTTACAAACAAATATGTACATCACTAATATGACACTTAACAGAAGCTCCATTTTATCCACTCTCAAGTAACAATACAAACTACTCTAGGGTTGAAACAAAAATGACTTGGGTAGGATTTCACAAGGTTATGTATTTACAAGGTCACAAGAAAAATTAGTAACAAGTGAAGTAAGTTATTTTACACTTGTACACTGAAAAGGCTCAAACAGGGTTACTAGGGAAAGTGTTATTTATTTACAAAGGGATAGTGTTTGGCTTCATGGGTAAACAAAGATGGCCTAAATCATTTCTACTCTGTCAAGTTCAAATAAAATTTTCAAGGAGAATAAATGTATAAACATCTTAAACTGCATAAACTTTCACTAATTCAACTATTAAACCAATAAATTGGAAAAATAAAATCTATGGTGTTTAATGTTAAATTGTTAAAAAGAATCAAGTTCAAAGCTCATACTAAGTTACTCTCAAAAAATTACAGTGACACTTCTCAAACTCAAACCACATTTCATCAAAAGAGGTGAATGAATAATTTAAAAAGTTAAGGAGGTAACTAGTAACAAAAAGTGTAAACTAGTGTGTTGCTAGTCTATTGTTGCATTTTGGACAAGATTGGTCTTTATTCACAAACAAAACACACAAAATAAATAAAACAAAATCACACAAGCACACAAGGAAAAAAATATTCACACAAGAAATCAGGGTCGAACTACCCACTCCCCCACACTTAAAATTTGCACTGTCCTCAGTGGAAAAGAAATTAAAGGAGTGTAAAGAAAACTTCCCTGAAGTGCGGCCGAATCTGGAATTGTTTATCCGCATGACGTTGGGAGATCCCTTTGAGCGGATGTGGCCCCTTTAGAGTCCAAAGAAATAAAGAAAACCTAGACTAATCTTTTTTTTTTTTGACTTTTTTTTTGTTTTTTTTTTTGAGAAATTTACAAACTTGGGTTGCCTCCCAAGAAGCGCTCGTTTAAGGTCATTAGCTTGACCCATGTCTTTCATTCATATTCTGGATCAATGAGGCAATACACAGAAGTTGCCTCTTGTTTCTCACCATCATGATATAATTTCAATCGTTGTCCATTTACCATGAGTTTCTGTCCGCTTTTGTTTAACAACTGAACTGCTCCGGATGGGAATGCTTCAAGTACTTCAAATGGACCCAACCACCGGGTTTTTAGTTTTCCGGGGAAGAATTTGTAACGTGAGTTAAATAGAAGAACTTTATCTCCCCGTTCAAATTTTCTCCGGCTGATCACCCGGTCATGCAAAACTTTTGTTCTCTCCTTGTATATTTTTGAGCTATCATAAGCTGCAAGTCTGAATTCTTCAAGTTCATTTAGCTGCAACAGTCGTTTCTCACCCGCCAATGCAAGATCCATGTTGAGTGTCTTGATTGCCCAATATGCTTTGTGTTCAACCTCAACAGGAAGATGACAGGCTTTCCCATACACCAATTTGAATGGTGAGGTTCCAATGGGATTTTTATAGGCAGTGCGGTATGCCCATAGTGCATCATCAAGCTTGTCGGCCCAATCCTTTCGGGAAGGATTAACAACTTTCTCGAGAATTGATTTGATTTCTCGGTTTGAAAGTTCCACCTGGCCATTTGTTTGCGGGTGATATGGAGTTGAGAGTCGGTGGTGAATCCCATATTTGGAAAGGACACGTTCCAATGCCTTGTTACAAAAATGAGTACCATTGTCGGTGATGAAAGATCTTGGAACTCCGAATCGGGAGAAAATATTCTTCTGAATAAATTGGATCACCACTTTGGCATCATTAGTCGGTGTGGCAGCTGCTTCCACCCATTTAGAAACATAATCAACAGCTACAAGGATGAACTCTTTCCCATTTGATTTAGGAAATGGCCCCATAAAATCGAGCCCCCATACGTCGAACAATTCGACTTCAAGTATGCCATGCTGAGGCATTTCATTCTTTCTTCCGATATTGCCGGTACGCAGGCAACGATCACAGTTTTTCACAAATTTGCTTGCATCTTTGAAAAGAGTGGGCCAAAAGAAACCCGATTGTAAAATTTTTGCAGCAGTACGAGAGCTTCCATGATGTCCCCCATATGCTGAGGAATGGCAATGATGCAAGACGTTTGAAACTTCATTTTCAGGCAAACACCGTCGAATGACACCATCGGCACACCTTCTATAGAGAAAAGGTTCTGCCCAATGATAGTAACGGGAGTCATATTTTAACTTCTTCTTTTCAGCATGTGTAGCCCCATGTGGAATTACCCCATGAGAAAGGTAATTTGCAATATCGGCAAACCATGGATCAAAAATTTGAGCAGACATGAGTTGTTCCCCGATGAAATAATCATTGATTGGCATTTTGATATCACAAGGAATCTCAAGACGAGATAAATGATCGGCAACAACATTTTCAGATCCTTTTCTATCACGGATTTCCATTTCAAACTCTTGTAGTAACAAGATCCACCGCAGCACCTCGGTTTTGCATCCTTTTTATTGATGAGGTATTTGATAGCCGCATGATCGGTATAGACAATAATCTTGCTTCCGATAAGATAAGATCTGAATTTTTCAATGGCAAAGATTATGGCAAGAAACTCTTTTTCAGTTGTGGCATAATTTGATTGGGCATCATCAAGAGTATGGCTTGCATAATAAATGGCATAGATTTCTTTTCCTTTGCGTTGACCCAGAATGGCTCCCACGGCATAATCGCTCGCATCACACATGAGTTCAAAAGGAAGATTCCAATCAGGTGGCCTTATGATTGGTGCAGTAGTTAAGGCCAACTTGAGCTTTGAAAATGCGGTGCAGCAAGATTCATCAAAATTAAACTCCACATCTTTGGAGAGAAGATTGGTTAAGGGCTTTGATATTTTTGAAAAATCTTTAATAAACCGGCGATAGAATCCTGCATGGCCAAGAAAACTGCGAATCCCCTTGATGGAGGAAGGAGGAGGCAATTTTTCAATGACTTCTATTTTTGCTGGGTCTACTTCGATGCCTTTTTCAGAAATTTTGTGCCCAAGCACAATGCCTTCGGTTGCCATAAAATGACATTTTTCCCAGTTGAGGATAAGGTTCGCTTCTTCACATTTGCTCAGCACTTTTTCAAGATTTTCAAGATAATCATCAAATGAAATCCCGTAAACCGAGAAGTCATCCATAAAAACTTCCATAATTTCCTCGACAAGATCCGAGAAAATAGCTAGCATACATCGTTGAAAGGTTCCAGGTGCATTACATAATGCAAATGGCATTCTGCGATATGCAAAAGTACCATAAGGTGTAACGCCCCGATTTTATGACCTAGTTATTTTAATAATTAACTATTAAAAATTATTTTAGTCGATTAAATATGTTTCTTCTATGACTAATGTGATCAATTATTTATCATGTGTTTTTATGGCAGATAGCGTTGACCGGTAAGCTCTAAAAATTTCAAGTGAAAAATAATGATCTAAAGTTTAATCAGTTTATGTTGAAAGAGAGTAATGCCATTTTTTTAGTTGGACTCGAAACAGGTTTATTAAATACTTAAGAGATCCAAATCAGTTATCTTAGCCCAAATAAATCTCTTTTATACTAAAAAAAAAACCCTCGAGGATCGGCATTATCTAAATATATTACTACTCTTAAACCCTAGAAGACCCGTTCTCTCCGTTACCACCAGTCTTTCGTCCTTATCTAGTATTGAAGGAGAATTTCTCTCCAATGCTTCAATTGCCGGCCAAACCTTTAAGAGAGTATTGTCCCTGCAACTTATAATAAGGTAAGCTGAATTTTATTTTCCCTCTATCTTAATTTCCTGTCTCCAGAAAGTTCCTTCAATTCACACACTGAAGCTTTTGTTGTACCGTGAATCAATCTAAAATCTGGTGAATTCGAATTCTTCTTCCTCTAATTACGATCCTGATTTGTTAATAAATTATCACTTATTTTGAAAGTTCAATTGATTTGTAGAATTGGTATTGAAAGAAAAGCCTTTAACTCTACTATCTTTCATAAAGGAAGATTAAGTTCCTGGAGTTCTTGATATACGAATTGAACATTTTATATCTAAGTCTTTTTTTTTACGCCACCCATCATTTAGTTTCCACTGCAATTTCAATTCCGTTTCTTGAAATTAGGTGATGAAATTGTATTTTGTTTAAAAATGGCAAGTTAGATAGCTCTTTTCCAAACGACATTAATGTTGGTTATAATAGCAAAAGACCATTGAATTGACCATTTGGTCAGCACATTGCAGCTGAAAAACTGAGTTTAAACTTTAAAGTTTTGGTTTACCATTGGTTTCAGTCTTTTATTAGTATAATGAGTTTTAATTGTAATATTATACTTAATTAAAGATTTAAAAGAAGAGCTTACCGGAAGACGTTATCAAGGTGCCACACTTATCTGAGTATTTTGAGTTCAGCTGCTAACAGGTAAGTTCACTATCACCTGTACATGTTTGTTCGACCAAATGCAAGAAAGAAGTCTGGTTGATTTTTAATAGGTAATTTTAGACTATTTGCTATTATGTGAACTATGTGAATTATGTGATGAGTTATGTTATTTGCTAGATTAAGTTATGTTTATTATCTGGCATAGTCAAGATTTGTCAGTACTTTTGTTTCAGAATTAATGATGTTTTTAGTCAAACGTCACCATAAAAAGAACTAATACTTAAAGTGAAAGATCAGGTGATATGTACTCCGGAACAAGTTCCCTCAGTTTATCAGTTATCAGCTTATCAGTTTCAGAGAGTCCGATATGTTTAGTGGGTCGCTCCCCTGAGCTATCAGATTGGCGCCTTTGAGTACATATCACGGGCCCACAGTTAAAATTAGCCACAAAGCGTTTTACAGAAAGTTTGTGAGATCTCCTTCAGAGAGTTTTACAGAAAGACGTTTTTGAGATCTCTTTCAGAAAGTTTTACAGAGATGTTTGAAAAAGATATTTTGAGATCTCTTCAGCAATTTTGAGAAATTATTTTAGAAAAATATTTTCCTTTTGAGATCTCACTCAGAATGTATTTGAGAAGTTATGTGTTAGTTATTTGTTCAGTGCATGCTTATAGCCTAATTTATCTATTGATAAATTGGCCTAGACTTCTAGATATTTTTGTGGAGCCATAGTGACTTACTAAGCGTAAAGCTTATCAATTTTCCTTCTTCGCATGTACAGATATTAAGGGTAAGGCCAAGGCCTAGGAAGATGATGAGGGAGTGGAACGTGTGCCGAAATGAGTTAACGGGAACGACCTTGGCGGCTTCTAGCTAGTTATTGTTTCGTTTCAGTATTTCAGTATTATAATAAAGAGATTATTATTAAGTATTTTATTTGAGAATTTGAAGTTTGAATAAATTCCTGAATCCAGGTGGTTATCACATTTTCTGGTGATAACTAGATTTTGTTGAGTTTTTATTTGGAGCTATATGTTAGTTATATTTGAGATTTTATCAGGGTTTATTTTCCTAAATAGATGACCATTATATTGCAGTTATTTTTAAAAGTAGTAAGTTAGTGTAACGCTTCCTTTAACCCTGAGAGGGGTGTTACAAATTTGGTATCAGAGCCCAGGTTGTCCTGTAACTTCATTTGTCACCGTTCACGTGCTCGTCATCTTCCAAGTAAGTACTTATTAATGCTAAAAGTTATCTATGTGAAAATATGTTTAAGTGTTGTTGGCATTAGTTAGATAGAAAAGTCAAGTAAATGTAGTATGTACTCAACTCGTCCAACCTTTGTGTTATTACGAGTTATGCAGATTAAATTTTATTTGAGTGCCTATATTCTTGAGTTAGGTCTTTTACTTCATTTAAGAAGTAATTAGGGTTGTTATCTAAAAACACTATCTTTCAAGTCATACACCTTCATAATCAAGTATCTGCAGCCTTCCATTTTGTTTTAGCCTCTGTGGATCTTTACGAGCAAATATTCCTTATATACAGAGATTACTCATGATTAAAACCCGAGTTGATTTAAAAAAAAAAGTGTCATGTAGTCTTTATTTTCTCATGATTGAGTAAATGAATTATGTCACAATCAGTGTTATTCCAACTATCTTTCATATAGCTTGTAGTTTATTCATGGCCTAAGTCGTGTTAGATATATTTTTAAATTAAGAAGAATAATAAAGAGTTTGTCTATTCTTTTTTTAAGTATGTAATTGAGTTTACATGAGATTAAGAATTTCCGTAAGCATTCAAAATCAGTTTGTTATGTATTTTTTTTATTTATTTATATATTAAAATGAAATTATTTGTAAACCGCCCATGCTATTTACATTACCTCATTAAATTTTTGTAAGAAAAATAAAATTAACGGAATTATAAGTTATAGCTTAATTTTTTTGTGTAAAATGTTGAAGCTTCACTTTAAATTTCGAAAGCTCTTTAATAGTGGATTCAAATGTTTTATGAATAGTATCATAAGATGCAGGATTTTTCTAGAGTGTTGAGCGTCGGTATTTCATGTTTGGAATCTTGAGTTGCTGAGAGGGCCCCTCATCAATTTGATGGTTCCAATAGGAGATACCGGTGGTCGGACTTCGCTTGAATATGATCAATGGTCAGATTATATGTGGTCTTTTAGTTATAAATGCTTATTTTCAAAATAAGTTTTAAGTGTGTTGATTAATCACTAAAGACACTTAGTGATTAATGATCAATCACATGATAGTGATTTTTTTCTAAAAGTCAAATAAGTAGTTTTTTTTTTAAGTGATATATTAGTATAGTATCGAGCTATTTTCTCAAAGGTATGTCTCAGAAGAAATTTTGAGTTTTAAAATGTTCCAAAGAATTTTTCGAGTAATCTCAACCTTTGGCACTGAGATTTAAATAGTGTTGTACATTCTTTTTAGCAAGGTTGTCCTCATATGATTTTCACCATTTAATCACCCAAAAGGATATTGAGTCTCACCACTTGAAATTCTTTAGAAAGATCTGCCAGTAAGTCTATATATGTGATGCATAAGTTTTAATAGTATTTGGTTTGCTAGATTAGAAGAGATACGATAAGTGGAAGGATTAGATCAAACCAGTCTCTAGTAAATAATGTGTCTTAGAACCTGCTGCACACTACGGTATAGGGATTCGTGAAGTGTGTTTTAATACGGTATGATCTAGAGAATCTAATTTCAATAGAATA